GGCCCCGTGGCTTAGCGGTTAAGTACGCGTGCTCCGCTACTGGCGGCCCGGGGTTCGGATCCTGGGCACACACCAAAGCACCGCTTCTCCGGCCATGCTGAGGCCGCGTCCCACATACAGCAACTAGAAGGATGTGCAACTATGACATACAACTATCTACTGGGGCTTTGGGGAAAAAAAGGAGGAGGATTGGCAATAGATGTTAGCTCAGAGCCAGTCCTCCTCAGCAAAAAGAGGAGGATTAGCATGGATGTTAGCTCAGGGCTGATCTTCCTCACAAAAAACAAAAAGAGAGAGTGAGGGATCTCTTTCAAAACAAGTAAGAACTGAACAACAATATTTGAAGAGTCAAAATAAGACTATACAGTTCACAGCCTCTCTTCATTCATCTTATATTAAGTTTATCTTTTAAAACATCATGCTTTTCTGTTTCCTAGAGAATTTAAATACTTCACGATTCTATGATGTACAGATTTGTGGCTAAACTGTACTCTCCCCAAGAAGCCATCCGTTTTTCTTTACTCATTTTCTTCTTTCTTTTCTTTCCTTCTTTTTTTCCTCTCTTTCTCTCCCTTCCACTTCCCTCTTTCTCTCTTTTCTTATCTCTATTTCTGCCTCCAGTTGGCTAGATATTTCAGAGATTTTGTACGAGCTCTCTTTATTCTCCCTTTAAAAAAAAATTATAGCCAGAATGTTTCAAGCCCCAAGTTGAAATTATATTTTGTTCTTTTCAAGAGTTGCTAGTCCATTCTTTAAGACACAAGCAGAATGGAAGACCTCAAAAGAAAATAACATTTCACATTGAACCCAAAGAATATTATCACTACTCACTTTCCAATTTTAAAAAACATATATGTTCCCTATTTTTGGTCAGGCTAATATATGTATAACCTTTTTCTAGGCACTTTGAGAAAGAGAAAATAGTATAATACAGGGTCTGTGACACTAAGTAATATGAAATTCTTATGATGTCTGCCTTCCCACTGATTTTAGCCAGGGGTGGCACTGCCATATAATTAAGCTTGGACCTAGAATACAGACCCAGCTAGGAATCTCCTGTCATGAATTTAAATCACCTATGATCCTGCATTCTTGCTACCCCCATGTCATTCCCCCTCATTTCTCAAGGATTTTAGCTCCAGATTTTAGCTCCTAGCTCATTCTCATTTCTCTTTGGTCTTATCGTTTAGTGATTTCAATATACACATAGGTGATCCTTCCCACCCTTGTCTGTTAGTTTATTGACCTCCTCCCCTGCAATAACCTCATCCTCAATTTACCTCATTAGAGCCCAACTTGGATGGATAAGTAGGATTCTATCCAATCCCCTGCAGGTCAGTCAGACCACTATCTCTCATCCTTCTCGTTCACTCTGGTACTTGACCCCAGTGGCCCTTCAATTCCCTGGGTCTTCCAATCCATTGATCAGACCACCTTTTCACTGCCCCGCATCCCTACACATCCTCTCTTCCTCTAGCTTAAATTCTAAGATCAATTATTGTATTCATTCTTGCCCTTCTTGCTTCAGCTCTGACTAAATCCAACTCTGCTTACTCATGCTGCACCTGTTAACTGAATGTGGCTGAAGAAAAATTCACAACCACACTGATGTGCCTCACTTCGAATTCACAGCCTTCATGCTGTTTGACAATCAGACGCTATGTCATAGTCCAATCACTCTACTACTCTCCAGACAACTATTTCATAGCTTCTTCTCTCTCTTCAAATCCCACTGCTTCTTGCCTCATCCTCACTTTCACTTGATAATCTTGCTTTCTAGTTTACTGAGAACACCGAAGCAATCAGAAGAGAATCTCATAGAGCCCACCATCACTTCTACTCACCAACCAGCATGCACACCCTCATACTTTGTCTTCCTGCTGGTTCCCATAGGTGAACTTGTCATGCTCCTACCCAAAGCCAACTCCTCCTCCTCCATTTAAGCACCAGATTCCCTCTGCTCTCACCTACTTGACAGCCCTCCAATGATTCTTTCTTTCTCCTACATCCTTAATTTTTGCTCCCTACTGAATCATTCACATCAGCAGGCACACTTACTTCTTTTTCTCCCATTTTAAAAACATTTTCTTTGATCCAATTTTTCTACCAGCCTTCATCCCATTTCTTTGGAGCAAAACTCCTCAAGCCTTATGTATACTTGCTGTTTTCACTTTCTCCCATCCCATTTTCTCTTAAATCCATTACAGCCAAGCTGTCACCCTACCATTCCACCAAAACTGTTCTTATCAAGTGATAGCCCCATTCCTTTAGTTCCCATTGGAGCAAATTCCTCAAAAGAATTGTCAATATTCACTGTCTCCAATTTCTTACCTCCCATTCCCTTTAAAACCTATTCCAACCCCCCATGACTCCACTGAAAGTGCTCTAGTGACTTTTTTGTTGTAAAATCCAATGGTCAGTTCTCAGATCTCATCTTACTTGACCTATCAGCACCATGTCACACAGTTGAACACTTTCCTTTACACATTTGGCTTCCAGCACATTTTACTCTCTCAGATTCCCTTCTACCTCACTGGTCTCTCCTTAGTTTCCTTTGCAGGTTCTTCCCCTTCTCCCTGCCCTTGTAATTTTGGAGGCCCCAGAGCTAGTCCATCAATACTCACAACCTTGGTGATTTCATCCAGCCCTCTGGCTTTAAAGATCATGTATGCTGATTATTCCCAAATATGTATCCCCATCCCAGACCTCTCCTGAGCTCCAATTCATAATGCCTAATTGGTATTGCAACTCTGTTGTCCAACAGTCATCTCAAATTTAACATGTCCAAAAGCAAACCTTTTCCTACAAAGATCTGCTCCATCACCATCTTCCCAATCTCTGCTTCTGGCAACTCCATCTTACTAGTTGCTCAGGTCAAAATCCATGGAGTCATCCTCAACTTTTCTCTTTCTCTTATGCTCCATATCCAATTCATCAAGAAAGCATGCTGGCTCTACCATCATACTATATCAACCATCCTCCTCCATTGCTACCACCTGGTCTGAGAAACATCTTTCACCTGGATTACTCTGATAGCCTCCTACATCTACCCTACATCTATCCCCACATCTACCGTTGTCCCTACACAGTCTATTCTTCACCCAGGAGCCAGAGTGATCCATGCAAAATACAAGTCATATTCTCTGCTCAAAATTCTGTAGTGGTTTCCCATTTTACTAAGAATAAAAGCCAAACTTATTACAGTATCATATAAGACCCTACTTGATCTAGCCTCTCTCATTCACTCTGCTCCAGGCACACTGATCTCCTTGTTATTCCTTGAACACCCTAGGCATGCTCCTGTTTTAGGGCCTCTGCTTAGCTTTTTCTTCCTGGAATGCTCTTCTACAAAATATCCACTTAGCTAACTCTCTCATCTTTGCCAAAATTTTACCATTTCAATGAGCCACTCTATTCCTTCCTCTGACCACCCTATTTAAAACTACAATCTGCTCTCCACTCCCTACCTCCAGAACTCTCATTCCTCTTACTCTATTCTACATATTGCTTTTTTCCAAAGTACTTTTCACTTTCTAATGTTTTATTGTTTACTTGTTATTGTTATTATTTATTATCTTTCTCCTCTGCTGGAAACTACAAGAAGGAAGAAATCTTTGTTCTGTTCACCAGTATATCCTAAGGGTCTAGAACAGTGCCAAGCACACTATAGGCACAGAATAAATATTTGTGAATAAATAAATAAATAAGAAATAGATTATGTGTTCCTTGAAAGCATGGTAGTATTTATCTCAAAACCATTTGAACCTCATGCTATCTTTGTGCAAAGACTTTTTTTTCAAACTCTTGATTCATTTATTGTTTCTATGTCTATTTAGGTTTTTACTGCATTTCAGTTAGAGTTGATGAATTATACATTTCCATAAAATCATATATTTCATCCAAGTTTGAAAATGTATTGGCATAAAGCTTTCCAACATGCTCTCTTATATTTCTTTAAATCACTACTGTGACCATATTTTTCATTCCAAATATTACTTATTCTTTCTCCTTTCACTATTAGTCTTTGATTGATACTCTCTATTGTCTTTCATTAATTTCTCCCCTTATATTTACCATTACCTTTTACCTTTTCTCTCTACTTTCTTTGACTTAACTCTGCTGGTCTTTTACACATTATTCAAGTTATCCTCTGTGATGAGTGATACAGCCCTCATCAATATTTCCAGTTTCCTTCTCCTCTCAGGCTCAGGAGAGGATGACACTTCCTTGACCCCTTGAAGCTAGGCAAGACCATCTGACTAGCTCTGGCCAATGACATATGTCACTTTTTTTTCTTTTTTTCGCCCCTTTTTCTCCCCAAAGCCCCAGTAGATAGTTGTATATTATAGTTGCACACCCTGCTAGTTGCTGTATGTGGGATGCCTCCTCAGCATTGCCCAGCAAGCGGTGGGACAGTGGGCGCCTGGGATGCGAACCCAGCCGCCAGTAGTGGAGTGCAGGCACTTAACTGCTAAGCCAGGGGGCCAGCAGACATATGTCACTTTTGATGGAAACATTTAAAAAAACCTACCCATGGGAAGAGGATCGTCTTTTCAGCAAACAGTGCTTGGTCAATTAGATATTCATATGGTAAAAACGAATCTTGACTCCATCACACCATTCACAAAAAACAATTCCAGACGGATTGCAGATATAAATGTGAAAGATATTGGAGAGGCAAGATTTCTTAAACAGGGCACAAAAGCACTAATCTAAAGGGGAAAATTATAAATTGGAATATATTAAGATTAAAAACTTTTGTTCATCAAAAGGCATCATTAAGGTAGTGAAAAAGCAACTCACGGAGGGAGAAGATATTTGCGATACACATATCTGAAGAAGGACTTGTATCTAGCATGTATAAGGATTCCTACAAACCAACATGAAAAAGAATACCCAATAGAAAACCAGGGAGCAGACTTGGACACTTCCCAAAAAGAGGATATCCAAATGACCAAAAAACACATGAAAAGGTTCTCCATTCGTTAGACATTAGAGAAATGCCAATTAAACCACCACGTGATACCATCACACATCCACCGGAACGGCAAAAACAAAAGCGACAGCACAGGCCATGGAAACATACTCTCGTGAGACTGAAGGGTGAGCCTCACAATACTGTAGGGTGAGTATCGCGAGACTGAAGGGTGAGTGTCGCGAGACTGACGCGTGGTTGTCACGAGACTAAGGTGGCACAGACAGCTGGTTTGCGTGAGTGCATCTTCTGTGAGGAAAGGAGACGTTAACAATCCTATAGTCGGCTTCCTGGGTGGGGTCGAGAGCATCCCTCTCCCCCAAAAACACAGCCACACCACTCCCCACCATACGCTGGGAGACCTGGACCCTCACCAGTGCAAGAAGCTCCGAGAGGAAATGCAGGTGACACAGGTGATGGCGGAGAACGACGAGGGCAGCTTGGAGACCGTCGCACTCCTGCCGCCTCAGCTTCTAGCGGTGGGGGGCGCACCCCGGGACCCCGCGGACTGTGGCCATACTCCCCCGATCCTAGGCGACGGGGGTCACAGTCTGGTAGCAGCCAAAGCGGGGCAGGAGGAGGCCCTGCCACCCGCAGGGGGCCTGGAAGCAGCCACTGCCTCTGTGACAACTGACAGCAGCCCGAAAAATGGCTTTCAGAGTGAAGACGCGCGGCCATGGTGGGGAGAAGCCCCTATAAACCTGTGGCGCGCGGAGGTCAGGATCCGAGGGGATGGCTGGGGCCAGGCCCAGGAAGCAAAGACCGAAAGGTGCGCCATCCTCTCGGGAGCAGGGGATGCAGAGGAGAGGGCTGAAGTGGAGGAGACGCCAGGAGGGGAAGAAATGGCAGTGGTGGAGAACAGAGTGGCAGACCAGGTGCAGGACCAGGCGGGGCCCAGGCCCCTGGACGGGGATCTCCGCATGAGCCCCCTGGAGGCCGTCCAGCTGGAACTGAACGCTGTGAATGCTCAGGCTGACAGGGCCTTCCTCCAGCGGGAGCGCTACCTGCAGCAGAGGAGCCACATCATTCAGAACATCCCCAGCTTCTGGGGCACCGCCTTTCGGAACCACCCACAGCTGTACGCCCTGATTAGGGGCCAAGATGCAGAGATGTAAAGGCACATAACCAATTTGGAGGTGAAGGAGCTCAGACACCCTAGGATGGGCTGCAAGTTCAAGTTGTTCTTTCCACCGGAAACCCATACTTCAGAAACGAGCTGATTGTCAAGGAATATGAGGTCAGGTGGTGTCTCTTTCCACTCCAATTATATGGCACCCGGGCCAAGAACCCCAGTCCTTCATTCGCAGGAACCCAGACGTTGTCTGCAGCTTCTTCTGCACTGGTTTTCAGACCACAGCCTTCCAGAATCTGACAGGATTGCTGAGATGATCAAAGAGGACGTCTGGCCAAATCCACCGCAATACTACCTATTGCATGAAGGGGCCCAGAGAGCTATACTTCACCAGATAAGGGAGCCAGTGGAGATCCCCAGGCCCTTTGGGTTCCAATCTGGTTAACTTTTGCCCTTGGGAATATTCCCACACAAGGTCCCCTACCACCTCCTGCTGGGCCTGTGCTTTGACAATAGCATTGGGTATGCCTTTTACTTTTTTCCTGCTGAACTTTCTGCACCCTCCCTCCTCTGGACATTCAGTTCTCTCAACTTCAAGATTGAGACCTGCATGGCTATGCTACTCCACTTCCACATGATCTTCATGCTGCTCTGCATTAACATCACCTGCTGCATGACCATGGTTCTCACTCTTCTAAACCAAACAGATGATGCTGTAGATTGCTCTGCCTTTATCTGCACTGCTTGGACCCTGTCTGTTCCCAGGGCCTCTGGTCTGGTTACTACCACCTGGATTTGTAGCTACGTTTAGGAGCCTATTTTACCCACTCTGTTCTGCAGGTAGCCTGTGGACAATTGCTGGACATTAATAAAGTCAAGGGACAGCAGCAGTGGATCATTTGGTCTATGTGATTTATGCAACTCCGTTTTTCTTCCTGCTCCTCTAGTCACCTATTGCTGCCTGCAGCTGGCTATGCCCATCTGCTTAGGCTGCTGCCTGCTGGATGAACATTTTCCAAACCACTGGCAGCTCCACTCTCTGGATTTTGGTAAATAAGGATCTTCAGAACTGGTGGTGGAGCCAGGTTTCCTGTCACCACATAAAATACCTTTCTATTCCTGCCTTAAAAGACCTCAATTCCTTACCACCACCATCACTCAGGAACCCTACTGACTGTCAGGCAAATGGTTGAGGTGACAACTTAGACCCTATCTGCATGGCAAGGATAATGGTGGTGTCCTTGCCAAGTACCAGGCTTTCTCAGCCTCACAGTGAATTCATATAAAATTTAGGTACTTTTATTTGCCTCCCGTCTTTATCCTGAATATGATGAAGTGCCAGGGTAGGTGTACACTTTTTCCTCTCTATCTCACATCTCTCATCTCTGTTCTCTCTCTTTCAACTCTCTATCTCTTTTTTTTTTTTTTTAAGTTGCAGCTCAGAAACGTCTGCAGAAACAGGTGTTTTAGTTTAACGTGGCTTTATCATTTCCAGAGGCAGAGAGGTTTTCCTGTAAAGGAGACTACCAGAGTTCTTATTGCCCCCTTTGTTCTCTTCCTAGCGCCTCACCCCCCTTTAGCAAAACCTAGAGGGTTTAAAGGAAGACAAATCTAGATGAAATGAAAGGTGTTTTTTAGGTCAAATGGGTGGAAGAACTAAAGAGATTGTGTTGGGTGCCCTGAACAGGGAAAACTGAACAAAAGGCCAGAGGCACTAATGAGCCAGGGGAAAATTGGGCCTAGAACTAAGACTACATTGACCGAGAGCTTACGAGAAAGGGATACTCACTGTCAGCAGTGATGGGAGGAAAGATACTTTTCTCAGGATGGGGGGTGGGACAATTGAAGTTGGTTGAAGTATTAACTATGAGAAGGGTTCTTTAAAGAAACACAATGCAGCTTTGGGTGTTTTCTCTCTCATTTTCATGTGACCTTATTTATGTGGAATGTTAATACTGTGCCCTTAATTTTACTAGTATTTAGTAAAATCCAATTTCTCTCTGCCTACCGGGAAGATTCAGCTGTATAGGTTTTCTTTTGCTTTCAATTGGGAACATTTGGAAGAATATCAATCTCTTTCCTGTACAATATAGAGACGTATGCACATATTCATAAGTTTTCAACTTGTTTCTGCTAAAACTGTATCTTTAGAAATATAATTTGAATAACTTGTTCTTGTTAGACTGAAGATTTTGGAAAGTGTTATCTTCATGGAAAAATAGCCTACAAAAAATTTGTGGCTCTGATTGTCTTGACAATTTACCCTGGTAACAACTTAGTAATTTGACATATCTCTTTTCTTAATAGGGAAAATACTTGTGAGATTGCTCTGTAAAATTGGAGATGTACCATTGTAATATTTATATTTCTTTGTATGCATGATGGTAAAATAAAAGCATGTGAGTCTGAAAAAACAAAACAAAATTAAAAAGATGGAAAATAACAAGGGCAAAAAAAATACACAGAGAAACCAGAATGCTCATATACTGCTGGTGGGAGAGTAGCTTGGTACAAATACTTCAGAAAATTATTTGGCAGTATCTGTGCACACCCTCTGATCCATCTCTGAGAATATACCCAACAGTAATGCATACATATATTCACAAAGACATGCATAGAAGTGTTTATAACAGCAGAACTCTAATAGCTAACACTGGGAACTGCCCCAGTATCCATCACTAGTAGAAAAAATAAACACATTTTTAAATATACACACAGTGAAATACTATGAGAAATAAAGAACTATGCCTGTATGCAAAATGTGAACGAATCTCACAAACATGATGTTGGATAAAAGAAGCCAAACACAAGAATACATGCTATATAATTCCATTTATATATGAAGTTTAAGTAAACTAATCTATGGTGGTAGAAGGCAGAATAGTGGTTACTACCAAGAACTGTGAAGGGTCTGAGATTTTATCCTACTTACAAACTAACAAGTTAGCCTGCCTAGTTAATGGACACTGAGTCAGAAACAAAGGCTCTTACAAAGGACAACTCAATAGCCAGTGTCAGTATTTGCACCAGCTTCTTGAGGCCTAATTTGTAATTCCACCACATGAAGAAAGCCAGACACCTGCACACACAGTGGGTTGCATTGCAAGAGAGGAACTCTGAGTTTAGGGAACCTGAATCTTTTGTAATGAGAAGTAAGCATGCCTGCCCTTTGCTTTGAAAGGAGTCATTATCTTTGTTATACTCAACAATAAGTACACCTGTACTTTGCTCCATAAGAGACACAATCTCTTATTTTTTCAAGGCTATAAGCAAACCTGCCCTTTCCTCTGGAGGGAAATACAATCTGTCTTCCAAGGCTATTCACAGATATCCTTGAAAAAATAATCTGAACAAAGACAGTGTCTCTGCTCACAAGATGTGCAGAAACATCAGAGACCCATGAGAATTGTCTCCCAACACTTGGGGGTGTGGTGGGGGTGGGTAGCTATTGACTGGAAGGGAATCTAAGGGTGGATTTTGAAGGGCTGGTGTGTCTTGATCTGGGTGCCAGATACAAAAGTGTATTCAAGTTGTGAAACTTCATTGAGTTGTACACTTGTAAAACACTTTTCTATAAGTATATTATACTTTAACAAAATATACTTGCTTAAGAAAAAAATTAAAAAAGAAATTCAAAGTAAGCAAAGAAAAAACAAAAATAAACAAAACCCCAATATTTTTCTGAACCTCTATGCTAGAAAATGATTGGTCAATTAAAAATGTGTTTCAAATCTTTTTGGGTCAGCTATGAGTCCATATATGAGAATTCTAATAGGATCATTCACTATGGCACATTCAAATGACTAAAATCCATTTTCTAAGAATAAAAATGTTCAATTATCTAGGTATGGGCCATCAACTTTTAGTATTTATAGTACTCTTACTCATTTTATCAGAGTTTTTTTTAGCTGTAAACAGTTCATTAATTATGGCTTGTGATGGTTCATTTTCAAAGCTCAGTTCTTTCAGCCAAATAAATGTTAAGATCCGCATATTATTTAGTGCTGTTGTTCAGCAAGGATGATGCTATTCTGAGGATTGGCCCCATCGTATACTTGCTTTCTAAAATGATCTATATCAAAGTTTCATATCCTTTTTTTTCAGGCCTCCCTCTTTGAGGTATAAATATTTCACTTGATACTTAAGAGTTAAAAACAGAATTTCAAACCACACCTTTGGCATATGCAATAGAAGACTGCAGTATTAATAGCAACAAAATCTTCTGTAAAATTGTAATGAAATAATTTTGCTTGGCTTATTTGAGCAAAATCTTTCCATTTCTGTATATAACAAGGTATTTCGGGATAATAAGGATAATTCAGTGTTGAAAATGCAGCAAGTTTGTTTTTTTACATAAAGGATATAAAAACATTTAATGTATAAGATTAACTTATTGCCTTTGAAATATAAGGTAGATTAAATTAGGCTTTTTAAAATTCCTACTATCAATTCATATCACACATTATAATTTTAAATGGCATCCATATTGATGGCTTGCCCTGTATTTTCCAGTGGCAAAATTTCCTCTTTGCTATTGGTAGCTAGAAGCATAAGAGATATAGTATACTTGGATTTATGTAAAGGGATCCAAAATTCAAGTTTAGTCTGTCTTACCAAGATAGATGAGGATGGGAAAGGTGGAAGGTGGGATTTTCTAATTCAGCATTAAACTAGAGTCTAGAGTATTAAACTAATAGTGCACTGACTTACAAGTTGGAGCACCTGGGTTCTAGGGGGCTCTGCCCTAAACTGCAGGCAAATCACTTATTTCCAAAGACACAGTTTTCGTCATATTTTTAATAACAGACTTGAAACATCATTTCTTCTAAATCTGAAAATTTACCTACCCCTTAAATATAAGCTTTCCACAAGGTTCTGTGGTCTCCCCCTGGCTTGCTTTCTCTATACTATTTCTGGCTGAACTTAGCCACTACCAGAGCTTCTGCCATCATCTTTGAGATAAAGACTCATATTGGAATCTCCGACCCTTACTCCAGACCAGGGTCTGACATGTCCATTTGCACAATGTTTCGAGACTTGCTCTCTTCCTTTCCATATCTATTTTCTTTTGTGTGTGTGTGTGTGTGAGGAAGATCAGCCCTGAGCTAACATCCATGCCAATCCTCCTCTTTTGGCTGAGGAAGACCAGCCCTGAGCTAACAACTATTGCGAATCCTCCTCCTTTTTTTCCCCCTTTTTCTCCCCAAAGCCCCAGTAGATAGTTGTATGTCATAGTTGCACATCCTTCTAGTTGCTCTATGTGGGACGCGGCCTCAGCATGGCTGGACAAGCAGTGTGTAGGTGTGCGCCCGGATCTGAACCCCAGGCCGCCAGTAGCGGAGCGCAAGCACTTAACCACTAAGCCACGGGGCTGGCCTTCCATATCTATTTTTACTTCCCCATCTCCTGTTTACTGGAAATCTCCAGACTGCCCTTTGTGAAATGTGCTCTGTCTCTTCCCATCATTCACACTGTTGACAAAGTGATCAAATCCCTTTTGCACAAATATCCTTCTTAACACACCACTGCCTGCAGAAGAAAGTCCAAACACACTACTATTGCATTCAGAGTCAGCTACAACCAAGCCCCTGCCTAACATTCTTGCTGAAGTCCACTCACATTGGACTTCTTGCTATTCCTTAAGCAGCCTATGCATTGTCCTGCATCTGTGCCTTTCTTTGCTCATGATGTTCCCTCATCTTGGATTCTCTTCTCCATCTCCTTACCTATGGAAATCCTCCCATCCCTTCTAAATTCTATTCAAATGCCATCTCCTTTAAGTTACCTCCAAAGCCTCCTACCTCTTGTAGCATATACTTTGTAGCATTTATTTCATAAAAATTTATATTGAAGTTAGTTCTTTATATATATTAGCAGTTTATATATGCTTTTGTCACTAAATTCTTAAGTTTAATATTTAAGGGCTGAAATCACATTTTAGTTATCTTTTTCTTCTGTGATGAATAAGAAACAGTCCCTGTCCTCAAGTAGCCTACAGTCTAGCATAGGAGACAATTAATGTACAATGTGAGAAATGCCACATTAAGTGCAAGCCTAGTGTGCTATGGGACCAAATAAGGGTGCTATTTCCCCCATCTGAAGATTAGGAGTATCAGGGAAGGCTTATATTGTCGTAAGAGGTGGCTTTTAAGTTCCATTGTGGACACCATACTAGACTATAAGCTTCTTCAGAGTAGGGATCTATCTTTTCATCTATGTATCCCTAGAGCATAGTATTGTGTCTAGCACAAAATAGACACTCCAAAATTACTTAATGAATGTGTAAATAAAAGATGCCCGAGTCCTTTATAGCTCT